AAGCCTGATCGTGTTGGTGCCCAAATCCAATGGCACCACTAGGTTTTGTAATGACTTTCGCCGGCTGAGTGAGATATCCAAATTCGATGCATACCCCATAACCCGTATCGATGAGTTAGTTGACCGCCTGGGCAATGCACGATTTTTGACCACCCTTGATTTAACAAAGGGATACTGGCAGATTCCCTTTGCCAAAGATGCGAAAGAAAAGACAGCATTCTCTACACCAGAGGGTCTGTTTCAATATACTGTTCTTCCTTTTGGACTGCATGGGGCACCTGCCACCTTCCAGCATCTTATGGACAAGCTCCTACGGCCCCATACCAGTTATGCCGCGGCATACTTGGATGATGTGATTATTCACATCCCCGACTGGGAAACCCACTTAGGAAAGGTGGAAGCCGTTCTAGACACACTAAGACAGGCTGGCCTCACAGCCAACCCAGCCAAGTGTGCTATAGGGCTAGCCGAGGCTAAATACCTTGGCTACACTGTAGGAAGGGGCATGGTCAAGCCACAACTAAACAAAACTAGAGACTATCCAAAATTGGCCCCAGCCGAATCGGAAAAAGCAAGTCCTGGCATTCCTGGGTGTGGTGGGGTACTACCGACGATTTATTCCCCATTTTGCTACCAGAGCAAGTCCCCTGACAGACCTGATAAAAGCCCGAGGTCCAGAAACGGTGAAGTGAACAGATCCCACAGAGAAAGCATTCATGGATCTACAGACAGCCCTCTACAGTAACCCCGTGCTTATAGCCCCAGACTTCAACAAAGAATTCATTTTACAAACAGATGCATCTGAAGTAGGATTGGGAGCTGTCCTATCACAGATGGTCAGAGATGAAGAACACCCAATCCTCTACCTCAGCAGAAAACTCATCCCGAGAGAGCAGAAGTATGCCGTGGTTGAAAGAGTGCCTAGCTGTGAAATGGGCCATGGAAACACTACGTTATTACCTTCTTGGACGACAGTTTACCCTTGTGACCGACCACGCACCCCTCCAGTGGATGCAGCGAAATAAAGAGAAGAACACAAGGGTGACCAGATGGTTCCTGTCCCTACAACCTTTCCAATTCACCATACAACACCGGGCTGGAAGCCACCATGGCAATGCAGATGGCTTGTCACGAGTACACTGCCCGACGTCCCAAGTTGCCCAACCCCATAGTGTTGAGCAGAGGGGGGGGCGATATGTGACAGGGTCAGGCCAGATAGCTATAGGAGAGTAACAGAAGGCAGATATATTAGCCCCAGGCTAAGTAGGTCCCTTTTCCCTGGGTAAGGTAACAGGGAAGGTTCCAGAACAATCAGGAACCTTATGGAGACAATTAAGACAGGCTGATTAGAACACCTGCAGCAAATCAAGAAGCTGCTAGAATCAATTAAGGCAAGCTAATCAGAGCACCTGGGTTTTAAAAAGGAGCTCACTTCAGTTTGTGGTGTGCGTGTGAGGAGCAAGAGGCACTAGGAGCTGAGAGTGAGAACGCAGACTGTTGGAGGACTGAGGTGTACAAGCATCATCACACACCAGGTGGAAGGTCCTATGGTGAGGATAAAGGAGGTGTTGGGAGGAGGCCATGGGGAAGTAGTTCAGGGAGTTGTAGCTGTCGCACAGCTGTTCCAAGAGGCACTCTAGACAGCTGCATTCCACAGGGCCCTGGGCTGGAACCCGGAGTAGAGGGTTCCCCCCAAATCCTCCCAACACCTGGTCAGACACAGGAGGAGTCGACCTGGACTGTGGGTTCAGAAAAATGGCCAAGCTGAGGGCTGCCGTGAAACTCCAAGGCGAGCAAATCCGCCAATAAGCGCAAGACCCACCAAAGTAGAGCAGGAACTTTGTCACAGCAGAAACATGCAAAACAGAAAAACATTGACAGGGCTTGCCAAAGCAAGGATAGCAGTTCCAGCAACCATCACATGCTAATGTGTGTGTTATTTACCACTCCACTAATTCTTGTGTCATCTACAAACTTTATCAATGATTTTACATTTTCTTTCACATTAATGCACTGAACAGCATTGGGGGGAAAAAACAGATGCCTGTGGGACTCTACTAGAAAAATCCCAGTTAGATGATTCTCCATTTACAACTACTTTGAGATCTCTCAGCCAGTTTTTAATGCCTTTAATATGTGCTACAATTATTTTTTAATCATGAATCAAGAACATTGTATAATACTAAATCAAATCTCTTACAGAAGTCCAAATATATATGAAAGTCATAAGGGAATGGATAACACTTAATAGGAGACTATGTATGCAAAAGGAGCCTAAGAACAAAAGTAATTTCTGGTCACTGACGCTATTGGGGTGCCTAAGAAAATGGACTGTAAAGCAGTGAAATGCACCTTGACGGACAGAGGGGCACTCAGGAAACCCCAGAGCATCAGAGCTCCCACCTCAAACAGTCAGCACCAGCTGCACCCAAGGGCTAAGGGGTCAAGTCAGAAAATTCCAGAATTCCCAATCAGAACCATCCAGGGTTCTACGGCTAGAAGCCTCCTCTTTCATTTACGCTGGGAACTGCAGCAGCTGCCAATATCTTTATAAACTCCTGATGTGATCATAACTCATTCAATTCTGAAACCTAGACTAATTCCCCCCCCCCACCTCATTTATTGTATTGCCACTGATTCTTGACCCTCCCACCCCCTTCCTCCCAAGCCTGTCCTGCCATAGCAACCCTTCAGCTGGTCAACTTAATTATTCATGTCCATTATACTAATTGCCCTTGTCTCCTTTTACCCACCTTCCTTCTCTTATACCAACAGCCACTTCCCCCTGCTCACCATTCTTCTGCCCCACTTCGACCAATGAGTGCTGACCAAATGTATTCCCATTGCACTCTTTCCCTATACACACACACACACTCTCACAAGATGTACCCCAATCATGCCCCTGTATTTTGTCTGTAAATTGCATTCCAGTCATCTGTTTTAGATTGTAAACTCTTCAAGGTAGGGATGGTGTCTACTACAATATAAGGCATAACACCTTCATCTGAAAGAGTAGTTAGAGATCTTTTTTTCCTACCAGCATTGTTTCAGCCTTATATTTTCTGACTGCCTCATGAAGTTGTGCGTTCTCAAGGAGAGCATCACCTTATTGTCATCCTCATTGGGAGGAACTACATTCATGTCAAGACAATATGACCACGTATTCAGATCTGTTAAATAAAACCAGTTTAATGCTTGCAGTCCTCCATAAGAAGCACATTCACCACTGGTCCTGCAGGAGAAATGAACTTTATGGGAATTTGGAACATTTCCTTTGTGAATAAGGATGAGGAAAAGATTGATTTCTCCTTAAAGAGGGAAGAAGGGCTCAGAATTCTGTGAGTTAATCCCCGAGAGGAGAAATTCCTATCTTGCCCTTTCTGAAGGCGCTGTTTCACATATCCACCAACACTTAGGAGATTTCAAGAGGGGAGTGGAGAAAGACTAAAAGCGGACCCCAATTCATTTTGTTTGGCCATATGCCTTCACAGCCTTCCAGCGGCTTTTTAGACTTACTCTATACCTAAATTTGCATCAGGTCAGTGGTGGGGAATCAGGTCCAAAACCATGCATGCTGCCATGTGGTTGAATTTCGGTGATTGGCTTTTTCTCAAGTTGCCCTAGACAACAAGACCCAGGCCACAGGAATCACACAGGTTTCAGAGTAACAGCCGTGTTAGTCTGTATTCGCAAAAAGAAAAGGAGTACTTGTGGCACCTTAGAGACTAACCAATTTATTTGAGCATGAGCTTTCGTGAGCTACAGCTCACGAAAGCTCATGCTCAAATAAATTGGTTAGTCTCTAAGGTGCCACAAGGAATCACACAGTGGACTGTTCTAGTGGGAATGGTCATGTATCTTCTGGATCCTAAGAGCAAATCTGTTCTCAGTATGCAAGCAACTGAAGATCCCAGAAATCCTGATTGGTTAATAAGGAGTTGGGGTTTTTTTTGTTTCTGTTTTTGTTTTTAAGGGCATTCATAGCCTCAGAAATGAAGTAGAAAATTCCTAGAATGGCAAAAGTGGACAAAAATTTTTATTTAGGATATTTTCTGCCCTTTGATTAGCTTCTAAGCCATTTTTCAAGAGAAAAATGAAAGCTTTAAGCTCCTGCATGCACTCTCAGTGAAAAAAAGAAAATTGAGTAACACAAATGGGATAAAGTCAGAGAAAAATAGCATCAAAAAGTATCAAGCATAGTTGTGCTACCTTCTATGTGAAAGCATAAGAGAAACCTCAAACATGAATCTTTCTGCAGAGAAGAAATACCTTTTTGTCTTTGGCATTATTAAAACTCATCTCAGCTGATTTACTGTCAAGAAGCGGATTATTTCAAAGAAAATAAATGAAAGCCAAGAGGTGATCAGTAAAGCTTGTAATTTCAGATGAAGCACCAACCAAAACCCATACAGGATATATCAGTCTTCATTTCAGGCTACTCTGCTAAATACCTTCTGCAAATAAGTTACAGGTTAAATTAATTTTTTGAGCCATTCAGGTCAAAACCAGGACCAAGTATAAACAAATCTCAGTTTTAAAAAAACAGACTACTACAAATCAAGGCCTGACATTAACCTGGATACAAAGCAGGTACTGAGTTATTTCTAATTGTTTTATGCAATTTTATTACATTTTCAATGCATTCTAAAATTGAACAATAATTGAAGAGTGAGAATATTCTAAGTTTAGACTGATCTAAATATACTACTGCTTGACCTCAATGTCCCCAAAGACGTGTCTGTTACTTAAACAAATTTGATTTCTTCCTGCCTTTGAGTAAAGTGGCAAAACAGACACATACACTATTTTATTCTTAAGCTGGGTCTTGAAGCAGACTCTTCACAAACTATAAACAGTTCACGCTGTTTTTAGGGTTAAAAGAAAATATTTCCCTTTCTATTGAAAACTATTATGCTATTCTACTGATGTCCTTGTCCATAAAAATTTGATGGCTGAACAAAACCTTTCACTGTAAAACACAAAAACAAGCATCATCTTACCTTTAAATAGGATCCATAATATTTGGTTACATAAGGACTGTCACACTGACTCAGCACTGTGATTTCTTGTTGGATGTCCTCTATTTCATCTTCCGCCTCTTCGAGATCAATAATTTTTATAGCAACCACTTTCTGAGTCCGATTGTCAATTCCTTTAAAAACCTCACCAAAAGAGCCCTTGCCAATTTTCTCCAATTTTGTAAATAGTTCTTCTGGATCTGCTTTTAGATTCTGTTAAATTTACAAAAAGAAAAAGATATTCAATACTTGCAGTGTTACAAACAAAAATGTTAATGCTTCTAAAGACAAAGATTAGTGACTTTCCACAACTCATTAGATCCTATGGAATCTTTTATGTATAATGCTACTCTCCCGCCTCTAGAACTTATCTGTCTTTTCTGCATGCTTTATTTTTCTGTTTTTCCACAATTTACCGCTGTGCTCTCAACCTGTTGTCCTCCAGTTCAGATGCAATTTGTGTTCCATTCTTTACCGGATACAAAGGTATCTTTGAATTACTGATTTTTTAGCAGATTTTTTAATGCAACCCAATTGCTACTCAGTACCTGTCAGCCTTCCTCCAAATTCTAATTTAAATGGTTACCCAAAACCTTGTCAGTTTTCTGTACCAGCAATCTAGTTTAACTTAGTCAAGTCCATCCCTTTTGAGGAAAAGGAGGGCTTATACAAAAAGTTCAATACTGCCTAATAAGTATAAGCTCCTCTTTTTTAATACTATCTGCTCATCCAAGCTGTCATTCAGGGTGGATAAAAATCAACGATTTTTTTTAATTAAACCTTTTTTTTTTAATTTAAATTGAATTTTTTAAAATTAAATACAGCTTTTAAAATTTGAAATTGACAACCTATGTTAAGGTCTACACTTATTATAATCTATTAAAATACTTTGTATTAAATACAACAAGTAATATTAAACAATACACATCTGCTGACAAGTTTTAAAGAAAGTCAAACCACTGAACTCATGAATGTCACTAACTAAGCGCCTAGAATCAGTTTGTTAAATGCTAAACGAGTTTTTGACAATAGATAGCCTCTTCATGCATTTTCTTCATGCATGCAGTTTCTTCAACTAGTTCACTTCAATAACTAGTTCATCCAAAATTAAGAAACCAATTGGGAGCTGAAAAAGCTGAAAAGCTCGTTTTCCTCCTCCAATATATGAATAAAAACTAGGTGTGAGAGGATGAGATCTACTAGTTCTAAAATCTTGAAGGACAATTTGACCAGAAACAATCAACCAGTTCAATTCACTGTAGATAATGCTTCCTTTATTTAATATATCATTTAGTTTTAAATGCAAAACATGTTTTGATAAACTTACTTTTTGTTTATTATGTATCCAAAACATTTAAAGTAATTTCATTCAACTAAAAAAAATTTGAAAATGTGTTTTTGTGCATTTTAATTGAATTCCAATCTCCATCCAAATGCAATTTGATACAAATCACATCTAGTTAAATAAGAAAATGCATCATTCACCATTTTCTAACATAATAAAAAGTAAAAATCTGAATAACTCTAAGTTAAACTTTATAATTGCTTAAATAAATGGGGAAGATATAGTGCATCCTCCTGGTTAGTGACAAGCAACACCAAATTCAATGTAAAAACTATATTTAGTTTCAAAGCAACATGTTTTAATGGTAATCAACCAATGAGAATCACTCTCTCTTAGGACAATAACTAAAGTACAAATACAAAACATGATTAAAACTGATTATTTAAATCAAGGTTTCCTACTTGCTGATTTAAATTATTAAAATTGGTAATTTAAAATTGCTTTACTTTAAATTAATCCACCATGCTTTCAATTTGGTCATGCATGTGGAAATGAAAGCATTTCAAAGCATATTAACAGGTCTATTTTTTTCCCTAATAACTAGGGCCCTACCAAATTCACAGATATTAAAAATCCATCAGACCATGAAATTTGGTCTCCCCCTTATGAAATCTGTTTTTTTGTGTACTTTTACCCTACACTATACAGACGTCAAAGGGGAGACCAGAGTTTCTCAAATTCAGGGTCCTGACCCAAAAGGGAGTTGCAAGGGGGTCACAATGTTATCTTAGAGGGGGTTGCATTATTACCACCCTTACTACTGCCCTGCCTTCAGAGCTTGATGGCCAGAGAGCAGCGGCTGTTGGCCAGGCACCCTGCTCAGAAGGCGGTGCCCTGCCAGCAGCAGTTCAGAAGTATATACTATGCCACCCTTCTGTGCTGCTGCCTTCAGAGCTGGGTAGCTGGAGAATGGCAGCTGCTGACTGAGGGCATAGCTCAATATCATACCATGCCAACCTTACTTCTGCACTGCTGCTGGGGCTCCTGGCAGCAACCACTGGTCTCCAGCTGCCCAGCTCAGAAGGCAGCCGCTGCCAGCGGCAGCGCAGCAGGAAGGGTAGCAGTGCCGCAACACCCCCCCACACACACACACACACAATAACCTTGCAACCCTCCCTCAACTCCTTTTTGGGATCAGAAACCCTACAATTACAACACTGTAAAATTTTAGACTTAAATAGCCAAAATCATGACATTTACAATTTTTAAAATCCTATGACCGTGAAATTGACCAAAATGGACCGTGAATTTGGTAGGGCCCTACTAATAACCTAAGACTTCAAGTATGAATTCTGGTCAAATGTAATCAGCAAGCATGTTTTCTTCACTACCTCTAGTCTTTGTACAAACACAGGCATTTCATTCATTAGTAGCATTGTCAAAGCTTTCCTAGTCATCATTTTATTGTTCACCAGCCACCAAAGGCTATCTGCAATCTATTCACCTTGACTTGGTTGAATTTCAGTTCAGCTCTCCACAAGCAGCTTTGATCTTCACTACATTCCTCACAGAGCTGTGTATATACATATTTTCTTGGCAGCAGCACTGACACATATTTAGACACAATATGAAACCAGTTCATGCAGATCTGTCATAAAGAAGCCTCAAGCCTTCAAATTCAATATATCGTTTCTCTTTACTTTGAGGTGATCGTTTCAACAGCATCAGCAACAATTATTTCCAAGAAAGATTTTGCAGAGCAAAGTTTTGTGGCCTTTCTCCCCCCTACAGTCTGCAACAGTTTTGCTTTCAATTATATGCAGGAAGGACTTATTTCCTGCAGCAGGTGGGAAACTTAAATTTAAGACAGAAGCAGGATGCAGAGAATAAACTGTGGTCAACTGTACTCAGTTGCATCTAGTCTTACTATCATTTTTTAAAAAGCAGATGTTAACTACAAATGATATTTCAAATATTTCGATCTATTATCTAGGGCTGCCATCTCTTCACAAATAAAAAACGCCATCTTATAAAATTTTCAAGGTGAATGGGGATATCGTCCAACTACAAATTTTAAGATGACAGCTACAATACTCTATTAAATATGTTCCATGGAAAATAAGACCTTGTGAATTCCAGATTAATTTCTGGAAGTTTTTACAACAAAAGGGATGCAACTTTCACTTACAGTACTATAAATTCACCTTAATTGGGGTAACTACACTCTTGGGATGTGTCCTGGTGAACACAATTCGCCTAATGATAGCAGTGACTGCTGCATTTTAAGGATTATATTAGCAAAATATTTGCTTAATGAAGATGCATTTAGCCAGTGCCAAGGAGTTAAATATTATTTCACCAGGTGTAAAATGAGTTACATGGGGGGAGGGATAGCTCAGTGGTTTGAGCATTGGCCTGCTAAACCCAGGGTTGTGAGTTCAATCCTTGAGGGGGCCATTTGGGATCTGGGGCAAAAATTGGGGATTGGTCCTGCTTTGAGCAGGGGGTTGGACTAGATGACCTCCTGAGGTCCCTTCCAACCCTGAGATTCTATGATTCTATGAGTTTCAATTATTTAATTCAGAAATTTATAAATTCTAAAAAGAAAAGCAGGGAATCATTTTTATTCAGTACAGTTCTCCTAACATATACACACACCCTGTCCTCCCCATTTTCTGTCTTTCGTACAAACTTAGACTATTATTATTCAATTAAGAAATATGCTACTGATTCTTTTTCAAAAACTATGCCTCAATCCAAGCCAGTTAAACAAAAATTGAGACAATGTTACTACTAAAAGATCTGTTTAATTTGCACTAGATTTTTGTGGGAGATCTTTAAGAAGTCACAACCAAAAGAAAAACTACTGAACTAAAATGTAGCAGAGAACAGTTGTGGGATATCAACAATACCCATTACAGACACTGTCGATATTTATACAGATACAGATGTATACATACATACGCACAATTGTATCTGTGATAAATTGCATTTGTCATTCACTTTGATCACTTTGCTTCATTCTGACTATAAGTAACATTCCAAAGGCGACTGTGACCAAATGCACCCCGTACTCAAGCCCCTCACCAGTGGTGGGCAACCTGCAGCCCATCAGGGTAATCCACTGGCAGGCCGCCAGTTTTTTTACATTTGCACGGCCACTGGCAGCTCCCACTGGCCCCGGTTCACCGTTCCTGGCCAATGGGAGCTGCGGAAAGCGGCGCGGGCCACAAGGACATGCTGGCCGCCACTTCCCACAGCTTCAATTGGCCGGGAACGGCGAACTGTGGGCACTGAGAGCTGCCGGCAGCCATGCAAAAGTAAACAAACTGTCTGGCAGACCGCCAGCAGATTACCCTGATGGGCTGTGTGCAGCCCGCAGGCTGCCCACCACTACTCTACACCCTATTGAAATAATCTTTGTATAAAATATATGCTTTGTGAGGTACTATTTGAAAACAACACAGTAATTATTAATATTCTTGTATAATGTATGTACAAAACGCACATTAAGAGTTATGAACATACGATGAGATGATGACTAAAATGTGTTTACCAGACAAGTTTGGGGAGGGGGTAAAACCTATTTCTCAAAGACAAAGGACAAGCCGGCACTTCTAGCCAGGTGTCATCAAAGTTGACTAGCAATCACCTGTCAAGTGACCAGTCTTTGTTAAAGAAGGGGGGCAGGAATAGATCAATCTGCCTTTTAGCAAACAACAGCATGGAACCTCTTTCATGACGAGACTCTGTCTCTGTCCTTACAGCTGGAATGAACTTTATATAGGGGTAACCCTCAGGAAAATGCATTTCAAAGGGTGACAGACTATAAAAGTGAGGGGCAAAAACACCTCAAGCTATCTCTTTCTCTTTCCTAAGATGACAAAGGAACCAGCCTTTTGACTTAGGAGAGAGATCCTGACCTGAG